TCGTAGTAGTAAAATTAGTTTGGTCTCAACATTATGACTATAAAGAGGTTTTACTATATTTCTCAATGACATAGTTTATATGATCATTATGTATAGTTATCTTTTCCTGGTTCCAATAGGTTGCATTGAAGACACTAATCGTTATTCACAGAACATTGAGGGAAGGTGATCCTACATTTAGGGAGGAACTTTTGAATTTCCAGCAGAGAGGAAGCATCCTCCAAATGTCCCATTTTAAGGATGATTCAAGCCCCATTGGTAAGTAGAAAGGTCTTTTGTATGTTTGTCTTTTACATACACACATGCAAAAAAATAAACAAATAATCCCAAGTAATTATGAAAAGCGTTGTGTCACAATTGGACTCTGAATACGATCTTATGTTCTTTCCTATGATCAGCTTGGGATTGCTCTGCTTGGGTACGGACATATGCTCTCTTTCTCGAAGAACGACTTGAGTGCTTTAGGATACTGAAGTATGACATTGAAGCAGAGTGTCTTCCTAGAACTGCACAAGCACAAGAGAAGGTGTGCCGTTTTCAGAAATCATATGGATGTAATTTATTTTTCCTTTCAGTGAATAGTTTTCGGGTAATTTAGTTGAGTAATTGGTCTTCATTGAACTTTTTTTTCTTTTAATAAATTTGTGCTGCTTTTGTTTGATAATTACGAAGCTGATTTTTGAAAGAATTACTTGATTTTTATGAGACTATATATTGACTCTTATCATAGTTCTAAAACAAGTTGGGAGTTTCTGTTATTTTGAGTCCCTAATAAGAAATTTTTTTTCCTCATTGATAACGATTTCCAGATCTTTCTATTGGAGTAGTACCCATATTAGCACGCAATTTCAGTAGACCATGCACTGACGAAGCTCAGAACCAAACTTTGTTTTATAAATATTGTAGCAAGCAATATTAACCTTAGTCTCCATTTGGCAAAATTTAAAAAAATCATTGAAAAATGTCAAACTTGATTTTCAACAACACGTCTAATGGATCCACAAGTATTATCCACTTATCCACCACTCATTTCTATCTATTTATAAATTGAAGAGTTTATAAATTCTTCCAAACAGAGGCTTAATCATGTAAAAAGGAGGTTTTTTTTTTTTTTAATTCTTTCCTTTACCAACAGGGTTACAGTAAAACTAGTTGGAACAGTTGCCTGCTTTTCAGCAGTTGTTATATCGCCTTATTGGATGTCGGGTATTATCTTGAGCTAGATAACTATAAAATAATTTACTGCCGTTTCCTAGTGTCAGTTTAATTAATACTGTTATTGCAATAGTGACTTAACTATAAATGATTTGCAGGCTGAAGGAGCAGCTGTTGGCAATTACCTGATTCAGTATGCACTTGCCTTGGTATGGGTTGCTTTTTGTTCCCCTTATGTCGAAGTTTCTTAGTAATTTGCATATGGGTTGAGAAAGTAATTCTAGCCTGGATCTACTAATCGTCCTGGAACATGGGATAAAATAGAATTGAAAGCTAAATTGACTGCCTAGGAATATACTACTCTAAAAGGTTAAGTCCCCTTTAATGCTAAAAACTAAACAAAAACGCAAAACAGAAGGGCCAGGAAGAGGGAAAGGAAATCAAAAGGTGAAGATGGTGATGAGGACGGAGAGTAACATAAGAACAATGTGGCCATGGCATTGCATAGGCCTCCTCCATTGTTCCCATTCCGTTCCATTCTCCCTCTTTAAAGAAAGATAAAAGGCAAGAAAAAATGAAATTTGTGTTCTGTCAGAAATTTGTATCTTTTTTTGTCAATCTGTTGTTAATCAAAGTTATGGTTAGAAATGACTGACTTTTCTTGCCATTATATGCCATTTATAGGTACTAAAAGAAAGCTTCAAAATTTATTGCTGTGTAAATGATGGAATTATAAATCTTGTCGACAAGGTGAAAAGACTATTATAAATGCTACACTGTATTTTTAAACTAATTCCAATTTATTTCCTTGGTCATATTTTTAAAATTAATTTTTCTTCCCTCTCTGATATTCCGTTCCAGTTTTTTGAGATGCCTAGACATGAAGCCATTAAAGCCCAGGATATCTATAAACGAGCTGGCCAGCAGGTACTGTTTGTTCTGCTCAATGCAATATAAACCTTCTTCAACTATGGTGTTCTGAATTTCTCACATAATACGTAGTGATAGATTCTGACACACCTTATGGTGTTTATGTCATAATTTCTATACTACTGCAGGCTATTAGTCTTTCTGATTTCTATGAAGTTTGCAGAGGGCTTGACCTAGCTAGAAATTTCCAGTTTCCAGTGTTGAGAGAGGTATTGGGAACGCGACCAAGTTTTTGTGCCTTAATTTCAATCATTTTTCTCGTAACACATTTCTCTTTTTCTTTTTCCAGCCTCCACAGTCCTTTCTTGTGACCATGGAAGAGTATATAAGAGAAGCACCCCGGATGGTTTCTGTTCCAAGTGAGACTTTGGTTAGTATTCTTATTTGATGGCAATAGTATTTGTCAAGGGGCATTTTACTTGTATCTGTTGTAAAAAGGTTCAATCAGTGGAATCATTTGGTGTATAACACAATATGCAGCACTAATATATGGTCGTTCTACATCAGGAATATCCGGAAAGACTTATGTTGACTTATAAACAAGAGGATGCTTCTTCACCTCTTGAAGATATAAAAGTGTCATCCGACGAACCAAAGCCACCATCGTCTGATGATATTGCTGTCTCAAATGTTATGGCTGCTTCTCCTCCCCCTCCAAACAATTTGGATACTGAAGATCTACTGGTGAGTTATAGTTCTGTTTGTCCCATTGACTAATTTGATGCTTTTTTTTTCCTCCCTTGATCCATTTTTATATTTAATAAACCAGGGGTTGAATGTCACCAAACCTGATCCATCCGCTATTGAGGAAAGCAATGTGCTGGCTTTAGCCATTGTTACATCAGGTTAGGATTTCTAATGTGCAGTTTTCACTTTGTAACTTCACTTGCTTAATTTGTTATAATGTTTGAAAGGGGAAATCTCTTATATGTCACACATGCTGCAGGTACCACACCTTTCGACTGTGATGCTTCTCAAGCCAAAGATTTTGATCCTAATGGATGGGAACTTGCTCTGGTCAGCACCGCCGCCACCGACTTATCTTCAAGCCAGGAGAGGCAATTGGTAAAGTCCTTGAGATTTTATTATCCCTTCCGACAATTATACTGCTGTACTATTAGAACTAGATATTATGCCCTTGTTTAAGCCCCATTTTTCACAAAAATGAGTATTGCAATAGTGATTTTTTTGGAGAATGTGCGATTAAAAAGTAGGGAAAATTTTTGGGTTCACGTGCAAAATATTTTTTTTAGGAGAATGTGTTGTTGAAAATGGATTTGAAAAAATGGGGCTCAAACAAGGGCTATATGTAGTCCTTGAATCAAGAATGACCGAAAATGAATATTAATTGTGGTAGAAATTTTGAAGATATTTGTAGTCAGAAGCATCAGCAGTAACTATTTGATGCCAAAATTAATAGTTAAGCATGTAGTTGATAATATTTCATATCTTGATAACAAAATAAATTATGGGACTTGATAAGCAAATGGAATGATAAGGGAAAGATGAGTCTTTCAATCGTACAATTCCATAAGATCCTAGCAGTTCTTAACGATCTTTTCCAATCCCAGTTAAAATCATTTTTGCATTGCTATCTGGATTAGCCATATTCTTTGAATCTTCTTAAGTTTCTTTAACTACAGAGGGTATGGCATAGATATGAAAACGAGCTCATCACAACTCATAAGTAAATTTGACTTTTTGGTTG